TTGGTTTGAAAATGAAATCTAGCAAATGATGAAGAAGAGAAAATTAGAAATTGGCTCAATGCTCCAAACTGCTTTGTCAATCACACTTCAGCTCTTAACAAGAGAACAACAGGGACCGGTAAATGGATTCTGAAACATGGGAGGTATATCCAGTGGAAAGAGGATCATAATGTGCTATGGATTCAAGGAAAAGGCAGGCATTATGATCTTCTGTTTGAAGTTGCACATTATTAATTTTATTTACAGCTGGATCAGGAAAAACTGTGCTATTGTGGGTGCAACTATATATATGAGCTGAGAGGCACATTAATATCAACTGTTTTTACCAGGACAACAATCATTGAAGATCTTTCTACAACAGCGACACATACAGTGTTCTTTCACTATTTTGATTCTCGTGATAACTCTGGTGCTAAAACATCATATCAGGGGTTTCTATCATTTCTTTTGCAACAGATGAGTTTCCGCCACCACCACATTCATGAGGCATTAAAAGCTTTGTATGAGAACTGCCACAGAGGTCTTGCTCCACCTACCATTGTGGAGCTGGAAAATACTCTGAACAACACTATTGCAGAGAGAACTAAATGTTATATTGCCCTTGATGCATTGGATGAGTGTGACCAAGCAACACAGATACAGGTCCTAAAATGGGTAGCAACCTTTTCTGAAGGACAATGTCTTGTGATTACAAGCCGAAACTTGCCAGAGGGAAAAGTAGCTGGTGTTGCTAAAATGATTGCACTTGATAATTCCAACGTTTATAGTGACATTTCCACATTTCTGGATTTCAAACTTCAGTATCTGGGACTTGATCGGGACTTTCATGAAGAAGTCGAGAAAATATTACTGGAACAGTCACAGGGACAGTAAGTGGAATTTGCATTTTGTTTTAGTCTTACTCATAATTTTCAGGTTTCGTTGGGTTGACTGTCAGTTGAGGACATTGCAAGAATGCACTACTGCCAGGGCAATTCGACAAGCATTGAGAAACTTGCCACATGACTTGGAAGCAACCTATGCCCAAGCTGTTGAAAAATCCTTAAGAAGACCACATGGGAAAGATGCTCAACAACTTCTCTTATGGCTCACATATTCCTTTAAGCCTTTGGAATACATGCAGGTTAAGGAAATCCTGGCTGTAGACCTTGAAAATCAAACAGTGGAGGAGGGTAATGGGCTAGACCTCAAAATTGAGCTGATTGTTGATTCCAATCTTGTAACTGTTGCAAGTAACAAATCCATCCAACTAGCACATAGTTCAGTGAAAGAGTTTCTCATTAGCTTTTCCAATCAGTCTCATACAGGAGAGTTGTTTGAGATCAATGATCAATTAGCATACAATAGTATTGCACAAACGTGTATTTTATACTTGCTACATTATTTGCACACTTCACCCTTCTACTTGCACCTGGAGAAATATGCTTCAATGTATTGGCTATCCCATGTACAAGAAGTAGAGGAACAAAGTTTGGGAGAAAATTTGCGCTATTCAGCACATAGACTACTAAGTCAAAGACTACACTTTAAGGAATGGGCAATGAAGTATGAATATCACATGCATTGGTACAGTTTGTCCATTGGTGCACCAATATACTATGCAGCCATTTCAAAGTGTGGGCCTATCATTCAAGATCTTCTCAATGATAGGGTTGATGTGAATGCACAAGGTGGATACTACGGCAATGCACTCCAGGCAGCTGCATATGTAGGGAATGAAGTTATTGCTAAGTTGCTTCTAGACAATGGAGCCAAGGTGAATGCAAAGGGGGGAGTATTTGGAAATGCCCTCCAAGCTGCTATTTACAAAGGGCATCCAGTGACTGTCAAGCTTCTGTTGGATAGGGGTGCCAAGGTGAATGCACAGGGGAGAGAATATGGAAATGCCCTCCAAGCAGCTGCAGACAATGGAAATGAAGTGATTGTCAAGCTTCTGCTGGATAAGGGTGCCAATGTGAATGCACAGAGCAGAGAATATGGAAATGCCCTCCAAGCAGCTGCATACAAAGGGCATATAGTGATTGTCAAGCTTCTGCTGGATAAGGGTGCCAATGTGAATGCACAGAGCAGAGAATATGGAAATGCCCTCCAAGCAGCTGCATACAGTGGGTGCGAAGAGATTGTCAAGCTTCTGCTGGATAAGGGTGCCAAGGTGAATGCACAGAACAGAGAATATGGAAATGCCCTCCAAGTAGCTGCATATGAAGGACATACAGTGATTGTCAAGCTTCTGTTGGATAAGGGTGCCAAGGTGAATGCACAGTGTGGAGAATATGTAGATATAGATTTGATTCTAGCAGCTGTATACAAAAATGCCCTTCAAGCAGCTGCATACAGAGGGCATGAAGTGATTGTCCAGCTTTTGCTGAAAAAGGGTGCTGATGTGAATGCACAAGGGGGACAATGCGGCAATGCTCTCCAAGCAGCTGCAAGGAGTAGGTGTGAAGAGATTGTCAAGCTTCTGCTGGATAAGGGTGCTAATGTGAATGCGCAGGGTGGAGAATATGGAAATGCCCTTGAAGCAGCTGCATACAGTGGGTGTGAAGAGATTTTCAAGCTTCTGCTGGATAAGGGTGCCAATGTGAATGCGCAGGGTGGAGAATATGGAAATGCCCTCCAAGCAGCTGCATACAGTGGGCATGAAGTGATTGTCAAGCTTCTGCTGGATAAGAGTGCTAATGTGAATGCACAGGGTGGAAAGTATGGAAATGCCCTCCAAGCAGCTGCATACAAAGGGCATCCAGTGATTGTTAAGCTTCTGCTGGATAAGGGTGTTGATGTTAACAAACAAGGGGAAACATGTGGGAATGCTCTCACAGCAGCTGCAAATTTTGGCTATGAAGTAATTGCTAGGTTGCTTCTAGACAATGGAGCTGATGTAAATGCTCAGGGGGGAAGATATGGGAATGCCCTACAAACAATTGTGGCTAGATCAGAGACATTCCACTCAGCATTGATACCTACACACACTCAGAGGAATGCAGATGCATCTTTGGGCTTTTTCAAACTTTTGCTGGATAAAGGAGCTGATGTAAATGCACAAGGTGGATACTATGGCAATGCACTCCAGGCAGCTGCATATGTAGGGAATGAAGTTATTGCTAAGTTGCTTCTAGACAATGGAGCTGAGGTGAATGCACAGGGGGGAGAATATGGAAATGCCCTCCAAGCAGCTGCACACAATGGGCATGAAGTAATTTTCATGCTTCTGCTGGGTAAGGGTGCTGATGTGAGTGCACAGGGAGGAAGATATGGGGATGCCCTACAGGCAGCTGCATGTGGGTGTAGTGAAAAAATTGCCAAGTTGCTTCTAGACAATGGAGCCAATGTGAATGCACAGGGGAAAGAATATGGAAATGCCCTCCAAGCAGCTGCATACCTTGGGCATGAAGTAATTGTCAAGCTTCTGCTGGATAAGGGTGCTGATGTGAATGCACAAGGGGGAAAATATGGAAATGCTCTTCAAGCAGCTATATCCAGTAAGAACCAAGTAATTGTCAATCTTTTGCTGGATAAGGGAGCAGATATCAATGTGGCACAGGAATCAGATTCAGAATCTTTAAGTTTGTCATGGGCAACAGCATCTGAATATGAATATTAAATCTGTCCTCTCCATGTTAAGAAATCACTTATGTGTACACAATTTCTTTCTCTTTCAATTATTCCAATTAAATTCTTTGTGAACCTGTAGTTAGTAGTCAGCTTTAGTTAGGGCATGCCACCATCTGGTAAATGATTACAGCTGTTGAAAATACAGTCATAAAAACTATTTGTTGGGATATCAAAGGTATATTTTTGTCATCTATCTATTGAACAGTTTTTCATAGTCTCTGTTAAGGATATGTGCACTTTACCTCTCTGCAACAATATAATTGCTCTGTACTATCACCTCATGCATGACATCATACTTGTTAGGAAATAGGTTTGTCCGGCTGCTCCGCCGCAACTTTACTCCCTGTTTCACCTTTTACTTACATAGGCACTTATATACAGTGCCATATGTAGTCCAGGGTCCATCCCTCACTTTACTTAATAGATTATGAGACTGGCTGCTCCCTGAGCCTATCATCTCATTGTCCCACTTTAACTTCATCTTATCTTGTTGCCTGTTATCACTGTGTTTCTACATGGCTGTTGTCTCCAAACCATCACCAGGTCTCTACATGGTCATCTCTTGGCAGCAGCTCACATACCTTCAGCAATAATCTTGTGTTGCACAGTGTAAACCATTCCATAATGCACAGGGTTCTCCTGAGTATCCAGACTGACAAAGGCAAAGCAAGGTTTTACCCAGGAACACTTGAAAAATGTAGCTTCCTTTCCTTTCACCTTGCCTTCTTCCTTTCCACCATACAACTGAAAGTGGACTGCCATGCCCAGAGCAATGTTTGAATAGGGAAAGGCAGTCATAAAGTTAACCATCGGGGGCTCTGAGGCTGTCATCACTGAGGGTTGCAGTGATAACCATTTGTTGACCATTTGTTGACCATCATCTGTGCTGGCGTATCTGTCTCCTGATTGAACCCTAACATCCCAGTAGTAAATTTCTCCTGTGCAAAGAAAGAAACTGATAAACAATGAGACCGAGATTGAGGAATAATAAAATTCTATTTCTCATACTTACCTGAAGCAAACGGATCATTTTTCACTACCTGATGGACCTTAGCTCCTCAAAAATCGCTTACCATCCCATAATGCTTGCCCAACCAATCCATCCCAACAAATCCAAGACATGGTTTGTAGCCATATGTTGACTTCTTTGGACTAGTGTTGATGAAGGCAGCTAGCTTGCTTTGTTGCTTTGGAGATAGTGGGTGGATGGAATGAGCTTCATGATGGTCAGATGAAGATCTTCATGATAAAAAGGCGCCCGTCTCTTTGACTACATCTTGTAAAGATCACTAGGGTTCAAGTGTAAATGGAGCATAAACACTTATGCGCCACCTATCATTGTTCGTGTTCGTGTACACTTAGTAAATAAGTTTTACGCGTTGCAGTCGGCTCGCCTAGCTCAATCGGATAGAGCGTAAGACTTTTACGGCGGTGTAACTGTTCTGAAGGCTGCGAGTTCGACCCTCGCAGAGGGCTATTCTGAACGATCTGGATGTTGTTTTTATTGTGTCTCACGGAGTTTATTTTTGACGCGGACCATACAAAACTCGAAGATCGTGCTCAAGGCGAGAATTTTCATTCCTCAAACCAACCAAGGATGCTAAAGTATAAATAAAGACACACATTACGCGTCTAGACTTCAACCACCACGTAATCTGCAAGATGAATTATCTAGCAGGCATTCATCTCTCTCATAACCAAGGCATCGAAGCTATAGTTGCAGGATCTACTATTATAACGATAGCTAGCCTCGGTGAGCTCCCTTTATTCCGTTTTTTTGCTGAATAATTCACCCATTTTTTAGCCAGAAAACAACGCAAATGGTTCTCCAAATCTGAAAACGAAGGCGGAAAGATTACGACTGGACCTACGACACTGATAGGCCGATTGATTACTCCCATACACGTATGCGCGATTATGGCAGTCCCAGTATCGTATCTGGTTGCCGTCTTCTCGAATCAGATGGAACAGCCAGAATGGTACGCTCAGACCTCGATAGACAATGTTTTGGACATGAACGTTGGGATTGGACCTTTGGCTTGGATTCGTACGGCTGCCGCTGTAGGCACCTTGGGAACAATTTGGTGCCATGAGATTATTTTGAGAGAGTTGGGAAAGCAGTTTCATTATATCGGGGTATGTTCTGCATGTATCATGTCCACCGAGAACTGACTTTTATCCTTGTGTGTAAAGGTTAGGGAAAAGGCAAATGTCGTGTCTACGGGTCCCTACGCGGTCGTTCGTCACCCAATGTACACCACTTTTCTAGGCCAACTTGCTCTTCTATCAGTTGCGTATTGGTCTTGGATTCCTCTTGTCAGTCTTGGAATTTGCGCTGGTGCATTCGCTTATAAGATGCCTATTGAGGTAAGCCGAACTTTTGACCTGCGTTAGTGTTCTGGCTGACTTGTGTTAAAGGAAGAGTTGATTGAACAGGATCCTACTATAGGCCCTGCGTATCTCGATTACAAGAAGAAAGTGACCTGCAAGATTATTCCATATATTTGGTGAATACATAGTCGGCGTGCGCGCGTGATAGATATCCGTTTTGCTTCCGAGAATCCTACTATCCTTTCGCGATTACAAGAAGACAGTGACTTGTCGATATCAATTTCCGTCCCGCTCCCGATGAGCGCTATACTTATAAGATTCGCATAGCTTCAAGACTCTAACCACTATCAATATCCGAATCCCATTTCTTACAGATGGACTATCTTGCTGGAATCCACATTTCTCCTTCGCAGCGCGTAGAAACCTTGGTCGCTGCAACCACCGTAGCAACGTTTCTGTCTATCGGTATGTACTTATTGGCATTAGTCCGGATCCATACTCACTTATTCTCCTTTCGTCTATATATCTAGTCTCTCAGCAACGCAAATGGTTGGTCAAAGCCGACAAGGAAGGAGGAAAATCACCGCTTTGCCAACATCCTTTCTCGGACGAATCGTTACGCCTATCCATGCCATCGCAACTATTGCTCTGCCCCTCCCGTATCTCGCAGCTGTACTATCCAATGGAATGCGTCAACCAGAGTGGTATCAACGTGCTAGCCTCGACGATCTGGTTACGATGGATATAGAAGCGAAACTGTGGACGAGGGTAGTGGCGTCGTTGTGTCTGTTGAGTACTATCTGGATACATCAAGCGATCGTGGATGTGTTGGGGAAGCAGTTGCATTATATCGGGGTAGGTTATGTTTTTGTGCTTGTATTCCTTTCCAATTAACGATTCGTTGAATTAGCCCAGGGAGAACGGTGAAGTCGTGTCTACAGGCCTCTACTCTATCGTCAGGTAAGACATTATTCTCATGTTTAAAGCGATAATAATGATACCTTTCTTCTTCTGGTCTTTCTTTCTAGACATCCCATCTACTCCATGGCTCTCTTTCAAGCTTTGTTCTTGGCCATCGCCTATTGGTCTTGGACGCCACTGGTTGGCTTGGTAGTCTTTGTGGCCTCGTTTGGATACAAGATTTTTGTCGAAGTACGTAGCATTGTTGGCTTTTCATGTGCCTATCAAGCTTATATCTTTGCAGGAGGAGCTAATGGAAGAACACCCTCGCATGGGTCGATCCTACCTTGAATACAAGAAGAAAGTCCCTTACCGGCTTATTCCATACATTTGGTGATTGTCTTGGTTAATATTATCATTTGGTGAAACGCTGGACGAG